ACTTGAGGCTCTTATGGCCAGTAAACACCTTAAATTGACTTCCATACAGATAATGCCTCCAAATTTTCAGGGTGAAAACAACAGCCGCAAGCTCCAAACCGTGAGTTAGATTATTTTGTTCATATAGCTTGGAGGCGTAGGCTATGACCTTTCCCCCTTTCATTAACACACATCCAAGCCCTTTATGCGACGCGTCAGTGTAAACTACAAAATCCTCATTCCCCTCAAGCAAGGTCAGAATTGGGGCCATAGTCAGTCTCTTCTTCAGCTCTAGAAAACTTTTCACAAGCATCTGACCACACAAACTTTACTTTCTTCTTGGTTAGGTGAGTCAGGGGAAGTGCTATCTTTGAGAAACCTTCCACAAAACGTCTATAATAACCTGCTAGTCCCAAACAGCTGCGGACTTCTAACACATTTGTTGGTCTTCCCCACTTAAGACCAACCTTGAATTAACAAGGGTCAACTTTGAACCCTTCCCTAAAAACAATATGCTCGAGGAATGCCACGCTCGTGAGCCAGAATTCACTCTTACTTAACTTGGTATATAGCTTTTGAGACCTTAAGGTCTGGAGGACCATCCTTAGATGCCGCTCACCAGAATGTCATCTATAAAGACACCCATAAAAGCGTCTAGAAAGGATCCAAAAACTCGATTCATAAGATCCATAAAGACAATTGGAGCGTTGGTTAATCCAAACGGCATTATCAAAAATTCATAGTGACCATACTGGGTCTTGAATGCGGTCTTGGGAACATCCCTTTCCTTAGCCTGCAGTTGATGATAGCCTAACCGGAGGTCAATCTTGGAAAATGCTTGGGCTCCTTGAAGTTGATCAAACAAGTCATCAATTCTGGGCAAGGGGTACTTGATCTTTATCGTGACCTGATTCAGCTGTCTATAATTAATGCAAAGCCTCAAAGACCCATCTTTCTTCTTTACAAATAAAAACTCACGTGCCCCACGGTGATACGCTGGGCCGGAAGAACCATTTATCCAGTAATTCATGTAATTTCCCTTTCAGTTCCTTTAACTCTACCGAGGCCATCATGTAAAGGGCTTAAGAAATGGAAGCAGTACCAGGGGCTACTTCTATTTCAACTTCTATCTCACTAACTAGGGGTAAAGAGGTTAACTCCACAGGAAAAACTTCTTGATATTCCCTCACCACTGGTATCTCCTCTAACTTAGACTGGACATCTCAATTTTCCACCTCATAAGCCAAGTATCCAACACATCTTTTGGCTAATAAGGGGGAAGCTCGAAGGGCCGAGATAATGTGTAGAGGGGAAACATCCTTAATACCCATAAAATTCAATTCATAATGATTTAGCCGTCTAAAGGTTATAGTTTTATCACAACAATTTACTGTATCGTGGTGTGTGGACAACCAATCCATGCCCAACATAATATCAAAATCCTGGATGTCTAGGAGTATCAAGTCTATAGGTAAAATATGCCCCTCAAGCACATCCCCACAATGTTTATATATAATATTCGTTTCCAAATATTCCCCCATGGGTGTGCATACAACCAAGGTCCAGTCAAGTTGTGCAGGTTTATCATTCATATGGCATGTAAAATGTGGTGTAACAAAAGAGTGGGAGGATCCAGGGTCAATCAAAGTTTTGCTTCAATTCCACAAACAGAGAGCGTACCACAGATCACAAAGGCAGATGCCTTAGCCTCCTGCTCTGTCAGCGCGAAAGCGCGACCTTGGGTCCTTGGTTGGTTCTCTAGTCCTTTAACTGGACAGTCCTTGACTAGGTGAGCCAGTTTGCTACATCGAAAACATTCCCTGGTCTTTCTGAAGTACTCGGCCGCAGTGTGGTTGCTCAACCCATAGTGAGGCAGGCCGGGCACCGATTTTCCTTTAGATCACCCTGGATGGTCCTTTGAATCTTAGCATTTCCCTGATTATTCCGGCCCTTAAACTCTCTCCTCGGAGGTGGTCGAGCCCTTCTCTTAAAATTCCTAGGTGGTGGGGCGCCCACTTTCCCTTCTCTCCTTAGACAAAATTCTTCACAATCTCTCTCTTTCTTCAAAGCAAGGTCCACTATGGGGGAGAAAGTCTTGAGGTTGGCTAAAATTATCCTTCCCCTTATATCAGGCCGAAGGTTCCTCTCAAACTTGTTGGCTTTTAACTATTCTGTGTCAATGATATGCGGCGCAATTCTCGAGAGCTCAGCAAACTTTGCTGCATATTATTCCACAAAACAACTTTCCTTGTTGTAGCTCTATAAACTCTACCTCCTTCGTCTTTTGCACAGAGTCAGGGAAGTACTTTTCATAGAAAGCCTCTAGAAAATTCTCCCAAGCAGTTACTACCCCTAACCTTTCTCGAGATTGCTTTACTGAGCCCCACCAATGCTCAGCTTCTCCTTTTAGCATGAAGGTTCTCAGCCTAACCTTTTGCTCGTCTATACAGTGTGGGACAATAAAGATCTTCTCCACATGTCCCCATGAAGGTCGAAGGTGCCAGCCTCTTAAATCTCTCTATCAAGCCACTATTATTTTGTTCTGGGGAAGGGTAGACGGGGCCAGCATCGATTCTCTCATCATCTGGGTCATGGCCCCTAGAGCCTTGAAGAATTCAACGAAAGCATTGGTCTTCTCATTGCTGAAACTCGCATTGTTGGCACGAGTCCTCGTCATCTTTAACTTAAAACAATGCGACTGCATAAGTCATCAAAATCCAGTAAGTAGATTCACACCATTGCATTCTGGCTTATAATTGATAATAGCAGTAGGCAGCATTCAACATTCGTAAAGGTATCACTAAGTTATCTCTATCAATGACTTTCAGTATTTTACCAATATAAGAATGAATACGGTTCAGCTGTTAGAACATCATATGGTGCATAAATCATCAGTCATTTCATCTTTAGGAGAACGAAAACACCAACATAGCACATAATACATAAGAGTTGCCTACTCTCGAAGTAGAAATTCCATTTATCAGGCCAAGCAATTCCTATAGCTTGGAACCTCTACCCTCGCTTAGGAGGGAAGACAATGACAAGTGCGTGATCCACTTCGTACTATCCTCACACACACACACATTCCCTCTAGCATGCTTTGGGGTATTCGATAGGCAATGAACTTGCAAGGTGCTACCCTCTTCTTATGCCCTTCTTGCGAGAGTGCCCATAACATTTGGGGGATGCGACCCTCCTTGTTACTCAGTGTCACTTCCAACTCCAGTCCTATCATTGGGGTCAAGGTATAGTCAGTAATTTATTGCATAAAAGTATCCAACTCCCAATGGGTGCGTCATTGTGTAGTGGTCAGTATCACAGTACATCACAATATAACAGTATCACAGTATAACGGTACCCACTACCAATGGGTGTCCCATTGCGTAGTGGTCAGTATCACAGTATAACAATATAAAAGTGTTTCAAAGTATAATAGTACCCACTACCAATGGGTGTCCCATTGCGTAGTGGTGAGCATCACAGTATATCATAGTATAACAATATCACAATGTTTCATAGTATAACAATACCAAGAGGGGTTCAATTTCAAACTTGCTATAATTTCTCATAGTGATGTACTGTCATACACAGAGATGTAACTTTCAATCTATTCAAAATTCGGGGTTCCACAACTAATTTTACAATAGACATGCATCTCTTTCAAATGGTGGTGGTTTGAAAGAGTTTGGACTCCATTTGATCAATTAAAAGCTCAATACAATGGAAGTATAGTATATGAAGTTTGTTGTACATATGTGACAGTGATATGTCCTTCTTCACAAGGTTATAACTTTCAATCCATAAGGCATTTTAAGATGGTTTCCAAACCAAAGTTCAAGTAAAAATATGTATCTTTCCAACAAGGTCAGTTTGAAAGAATTTAGACTCCATTTGATAATTAAAATATTTGTGACAACATAAGTGATAGTTCTAGAGGTCGGTGAAATCTGCCAACAGTGACATGCTCTCACAATTTAAGGCATAACTTTCAATCTAGAACGAATTTTGAAATATTTTCAACGCGCAAATTTAAGCACGCACTTGTATATTTCAAATGGAAGTAGTTTGAGAGCAATTGGACTTTATTTGGTTAGTCAAAATTTATGGCAACAAAGTTGTCAGTTAAAATTTCAGAGAAACTGTTAACAGTGACATGCTTGCACAATTGGAAGCATAACTCCTCATTTATACAGAGTCTTAACAAGGTTTAAACATGAACATCAAATTAGACACCTGTATTTTTCTAATAGCAGTAATTTGAAGTCATTTGAACTTCATTTGGCTATTCAAAAGCTTGTTTCAAAAACATGAACATTTCTGGAAATTCACAGTTTACACATGACATGCCTCAAAGAATGCTAAATAACTTTCAATTCACAGTAGATAACATTATAAAGTCTTTTCCATTTTAATTTAGACATACATAAGCACGTTTCTACAGATTTTTATGAGCAATGGAATCATTTTCAACATCAAAACCCATCATGCAATAGAGGCATCAGTTCTATGAAACAATGCATAAACTACTACTACACAATCACTTTCTTTGACCCCTTTCTTGCTTGTACTATTTTAGTTTCATTTCTCAAGAGTTTAGATACAATGGTGGATTGATCCACTTACCTAGTATGCAATGGTGCCTCCAAAACTCCCTTTTCACAGTCCCCTTCAAGCTTCTTACAGTAGCTCTTCAATGGAGTAACAATGAGCTCAAAGTGTTGGGCTCTAGAGAGAGAGTGTATGTGAAACTCTTTAGAGGAGTGTTTGAAGGGGTTTTTATAAGCAAAAAAAGGGAGAGGGGGCAGCATGCACAAGCCAAGTGGCAACAAGGGTTACAAGTATTGTGTATATAGTGCCCAAGTGGCTGTCAAAGGCCCATAAGTGGCTTACATGTGCCACGTGGCATATACTCACAATAGCTACACAGACGGAGATAACACAAATGGCAGCTACACAGATGACACTAACATACACAGATGACATTAACACAAGTGGCAGCTACACAGATGGTGATAACATAAATGGCAGCCACACAAGTGGCGATAACACAATTGGCAGCTACACAGACCACGATAACACAAATGACCGCTACACAGACGGCGATAACACAAATGACAGCTGCACAAATGGCGATAACACAATGCGATATCACAAATGGAAGTTACACAGACGGCGATAACACAAATGGCAGCTACATAGATGACGATAATAGAAATGGCAGCTACACCGATGGCGATAACACAAATGACAGCTATACAGACGATGTTAATACAAATGGCAGCTACACAAACGACAATAATACAAATGGTAGCAACATAGATGGCTTTAACACAAATGGTAGCTACACAGATAACGATATTAGAAATGGCAGCTACACAGATGTCAATAACACAAATTGCAGCTACACAGGTGGCGATAACACAAATGGCAACTCCACAGACGGTGATAACACAAATGGCAGCTGCAGAGATGACAATAACACAAATGGCAGCTACACAAACGACGATAACACAAGTGGAAACTATACAGATGATGATAACACAGATGAAAGCTACACATACGATGATAAACAAATAGCAGCTACACAGACGACGATAACACAAATGGCACCCACACAAATGACAGCTACATAGATGGTGATAACATAAATGGCAGCTACACAGACGGCGATAACACAAATGACAGTTACACAGATGACAATAACACAAATGGAAGCTACATAGACAGTAATATAACTTCTTTTCTCCGCTTCCATTGGCTTTTCACTACTGTGCAAGCCTTTTTAGCCGAAAAATGTTTCTATCCTTACAAAGGCCCTTGCCCTCGGGGCGCAGGTGTCACGTTTGCTTGGTGAGCTACATTTCTCCTAGCATTCCTTGCTCCTCCGCGGCCGTGGCACACCTCCCATCCTGCCAAAGCGCAGTAGGTGGGGGTCTCGGAGGTGCTGGTGATAGGGCTCCGAACCCGTTCCATCCTAGGGTTAGGGTGGTGACACTCGTGAAGAGTCTTGCAAGAAGCGGAGGTTGTCTGTCAATTAGGGCTATCTATCCATCCTGGATGTACCCTTGAAGGACATCTCGAAACCCCCAACAATGAGACTGGTCGTGACCACTCCGCTGGTGGTAGCGACACCATGGACCTTGGCTTTTACTGGTAGCCTATCCTTGTCACTTAGAAGTGCAAGGAACTATCATCTCATGCTGCACTTACACGTCGAAGAGGGCAGGGAGCCAGTAGGGTGGAAGCTCGGTCTTAGGGACCTCGTCGTCTAGCGTTTCGTGGAGCGTAACCATATAACAGGCTTCAAGCATTTCAAATGCCTTCTTGAGGTCCTCCAAATTGATTTTCCCTTCTAGAATAGGGCTTCGATGTACTCTTTCAGCTAGAAGCAGTCCTCCATGGCATGTCCCAACATCTGGTGGAAGGCACAGTAGTTGGGATGGTCAACCCATTATGCGTGCTTCGGCCATTTACTAAGAGGGAGGACCACCATGTCCTACTCAATCAGCATTCTCAGGAGGGTTGGTTCCCACACCTTGTTGAAGCTGTATTGCTGATGGAGCCTTCGCTTGAACTCTTCAGTTCATTGGTAGCTTTGTGGCAGGGACATGTTGTTGTAGTTTTGTCTTTGGGGCGGTTGTTGCTGCGTCGTCCCCTGAATTCACGCTCGCAAGCCCCAAGAGGTGTCCAATGTTCCTAGGAGTGCCACATTGGATGCAGGCTGGGAGGTGGTGGTAATTGCCGCGCTGATCAGATTCTTTGACTGACTGGTGTGGGGGTTAGTCCTGCCGCCTTGCGGTTGGCCTCCTCCTGAGGTTTGGGCTGGGTCTCCACCATGATGCTTTAGCAAGCTTTCCATTTTTGCTTCTTTGGTGATCATTTCGGAGAAGGTGGTTGGGTTGGAGGCCACGACGTGTAAGGAGATTTCTCCCCTCATGTTCATGCAAGTTTGCATGGCCTCCGCCTTGCCCATGGGGTTGCTTTGGCACATGGAGAGGTCCCTCCACCTCTGTATGTACTGGCCCACTGATTCGTCCGGGTTTTGAGCCATGGTGAGAAGCTCTATGGCCTGCACATCCAGCTCCGCTTCATAGAAGCGTTTGTAGAAGATCTATTTTGTCACGCCCCAAGTTCACTAACATTCCTGAGATGCGACAGACTCTTCTTATATATATATATATATATATATATATATAAGACAAATTCAAATTCCTATTTATATATTACATCAAAACAGATTTTTCCATTTCTTTTAATCTGTGCAAAGTCTACTCACAACAAATAACAAAAATTACAATGGAGAATTTGAGCCGAAAGTTACAAAGGGAATTTAATCATGATTACAATTTCTTCAAGTATGGTCCTGCTGCATTCGAACTATGAGACTGTATTTACCTTGAAAAATTTACCATAATTTGGTGAGTTTGGCTACTCAGTAAGTGATCATCATGATCTTTAAAAATAATCATGGTTGCAAGATATAAAAAACGTTCAAAAGGGAGGTCTATTAAAAATAATGCAAGCAAAAGCATTTATGGATAACAATTTCACTTTCAGAAATATACAATTAAACATAATCCAAATGATTGAAATGCATATAAACATATTTTAATAGAAATGCATAACTCAAAGGATTTCATAAAGTACCCCACTGACGCCCCAAGTAGGTCACCTACATAACCCACCAGCATCTTGGATGGGTCTAAACAATCCCTCACCGGCGTCCCGAATGAGTCCAAATAGTCCCTACCAGCATAAAGAATATGTCCTAACAATCCATGTAGGTTTGATCATACCTCACCAGCGTCCCGAATGAGTCCAAATAGTCCCGACCAGCATAACCAGGTAGGTCCTAACAATCCCTGCGGGTCCAATCGTACCTCACCGACATCTCAAATGAGTCTAAATAGTCCCTACTGGCATAACCGGATAGGTCCTAACAATCCCTGCAGGTCCACTTATACTCAAATTATCTTTGAAACTATTTAACATCAGAAAGAAGCAACATCATATATGCAAAGTATCATTGAAATTATTAACAGGAATTCACTTGAAGCAATTTCAAAATCACTTTTATTGAAATATCTGTAAGTAACCAGTCAAACATTTTGGCAATAATTTCTGAAAGGTAGCAGTTCTGAAGAACATTCTTGAAATCTAACATGATAACAATCTAGTATCAATAGAAGAACCCTTATGGGAATCCAAAAGTAAATACGGAATTATCACTATTTATGGAATTGCCAGTTCATAAATAATCATTTCATAGGCAATACTACAAGTGCAGAACTATCAGTTTTTCAAATAATGAGGGAATCATTTGCACATGAATTTTACAATGTCTAAATATTCAAAAAAGCTAGAAAGAAATCTCACAATTTTACTAAAAGAGGAAATATCACATTTATTTCTAATAATTTTACAGTATCTAAAATTCTCAACAATAGACAGGAAAAATAAATTTATTTCTAAGAATTTACAGCAATTAAAATTCCTAACAATAGATAAAATATAACAATTTTACTAAAAAGATTATTTTTCAAGATAATGAGGTTACTTACCTATCTGTTATTATTCTTGAGCATCAGGATGCAATGAAATAGTTAAAATGTTTCCAATGAATGTTGCCATCAGTAAATGTTTTCAGCTTCAATGTAAGCTTGGATTTCTTCCAAGATTTTCTCCACAGCATGAGGTGGGTTATTCTCAGATAAGTGATGGCAAGCAGGATCCTCACACCAAGCATTATATTTTATGTGAAGAGTGATGGGTCTTCTTGTTTTGGTACGTCCATCTACATGGTTGAACTGAACACCCATCAAAGCTTCAATTAGAACGATCAAATGGTCATAAAGCATTACCTTGTGTTCATAGTTTTGAATTCCTTTTGACCCATATTACTGCAACTACCACCAACATGAGTCTTCACTTATGCATCCTTAGATCAACAATTTGGTCGACACTTCAGCCATCATTGGATTAAACAAATTGATATGGACGGTCCACTTTGGCAAATCCCAACCGTTCGTCCCAAGCTTTCTTTTCACTATCCACTGCCCTAGTCCCTGCCTTCAAGCTTCATGGCTTCTAAGTTTTGGTAGAGCTCACTATTTCTACGGCTAGAGAGAGAAAGCCATGGTTAAGACCCTCAGAGGAAGTAAAGCTTTGGATTGGGAAGAATGGCTTGGGTTGTAGCACATGAGGTTTTCATCTGTCTATTGCATATGAGAGATAGTTAGGATGTCTCAAGAAATCTTGAAGAGAAAGAGGAGGCTGGTGACTTACGAGGTTTTCAATGGAAAGCCTGAACATTTCAGCCATGACAGGGGATAATAGGTAGGGAAAGGGAACAATTGTCGAGAGAGAACATAGTAAATGGAAGAGAGAAAGGTATAAGAGAGACAGAGTATAGTGAATACAAAATGATAATTTAGAGAGAGAGAGAGAGGATTAAAATAAGAGAGAGAGAGTACGGTACGAGAGAAAAATTTGAAACTTCTTAGATCAAAAGAAAACTTCTTGTATAAATCATCCATGGGTTAACATGCATGATGCAAAACCTGACACATCATTTAATATATGTCAATAGAGAATTAACTAAAATATATGGTAATGCCACCACACAATATGACAATTAATGCAGCATCTTATAGCGGCACGTCAGCCTTACCATGCTCAATGTGCTTGCAAGAAGAAATGTTTTGGAAGCTTTACATTCTGTTATGGTACAAGAGTTCATGGACAAAAGGTGAAATAGACTAGCATAAAAAATTGTGAGAAAATAGTTGCTTTGAATTACCATGGATGGTGGAGTAGGGTATTAATCGAATATCCAAGAAATCGTGGTCCATATTCAAATTAAGGGGTAATTTCACATAAGAGAAAAGATGGTCCTTATGGTGCATTTCGACCATGAACTATCGCTCTAAATATTCTTTTATGTATTTTATTTTATTACATTTATTCATTTATTTATTTTTATTGTATTTATTTCTATTAACACTATTATTATTAGTTTTCAGTTTAAAAAATTTAGGGTGGTCACATGTTCCATCTCCAGCCAAGAGTGAACTGAGTTGGGTGGTAGGCGGGCGTACCATTTGAAGGCGGGCCCGACTAGAGTCTCCACGAATTGTCGAAGTAACAAGCTGGGGTCCGAGGCTGAGTCTTGGTAGGTAGACATGATATGCTTCAGAAGAGGGGTATTCTTACAAATGGTTAAATTTGCTTCTATAGAGGATTCACCAAACATGGGTGAATGTTCAAAAGTCAAGCTTAATTATAATTAAAGAAATTAGAGATAAATCCTGAAATTAGGCACAAATGATCAAAATGTCCCTGAGATCGTTTGCACGAATGATGAAACCGTCCCTGCATGCAGGTTGCTCCGCCATGGCGAGACCTTGGAAGTTTGTTCTGCAGCTTGTAGCAATGGTTCAGCTGTTTCAGCAACATATCTTCAATGTCTTCTTGATGGTAAGCATTTTGATGCCTTTTAATCATGTTGAGATGGACTTTTCCCTCGAGGTGAAAGTCCGGCCAGATTTGTGAACTTCGCTTGGCAATGCTTCTTTGAGCTATGTTGTTCTGATTCCTGGCTCTTCTTGCAAGTAAGAGAGGAGGCTGTCACAGT